TATATATAACACAAACATAACAGAACTGAGAACATTAAAAAAACTAACAAAAAAAGAAACCCCTATGCCCCTCCACACCCACACCAAATCAGCCACACATACAGAAATGTCTTTATACAGGTATTTACATATTTTCAACATATGACAAAAAAGGCTGCCAGGTGTCTCAGAATCTTTTAACAGAACCCTTCAGGGTATATCAGATTTTTTCCAAATGAATGTGATACAAGACTTCCCTTGTCCAATGTACATATCCTGGGGTGTGTGGCTCCTTCCAGTTGCACAAAATGAGCCTCCTGGCCAGAATCGAGCCAAAAGCAATCACATCCTTCTTGTACTTACTGAAGAACATATCCACAGGGACCACCCCTAACAGTGAGATGAACGGTGATGGGTGAACAGTTCCCCCACATATCCCAGAGAAGATGTCAAAAATAGATTGCCAAAAAGTCTGCAGTTTGGGACAGGTCCAGAATATGTGCAGGAGTTTAGCTGGAGTTTGTTCACAATGATTGCATGCGGGGTCCAGGTTGGCTTTGATCTTGGACAGCTTGTCTTTGGACCAGTGCAGCCAGTGTATCACCTTGAATTGAATTACAGCATGTCTCAGACAGATTGAAGATGAGTCAATATTCTTAATGATTCTTCACCAGACTGAGTCTGATATGGATTACTCCAAGTACGTTTCTATCTTGACAGTTTTTACCAACAAATGAAAAAGTTTGAACACCCCTGTCCTAAAGATTGACTTAGTGCAGATTGTGTTTAGACTACCTAATGTAATGAATATTAAAGGGGTCCAGACCATCTTTGCAGTCTGAGTGATCTGATAGCAATCAAATAGCACAAAATACAGGCATGAGTGACCTCAGTGGTCATTGAAAACATCTTAATCAGACTACATCTGAAGGCGCAATCAAATTGCCCAAGATGTACATGCCAGAGCTGAACAGAATCTTGAAGGTATGATTTGCTGGTCCTGTTCAACTGCTATAGACGCTGTTTAGACCTAAAACTTCTTTTATCTGTAACTAGTCAACTTTTCACCTTTTCTAAGCTCACATTGAACAATGGGCCTTGTCAGGTACAAGGACTCAAAACAGAAAATGGGGGAAGAGCAGCAAAAGTCCAAAGTCAATTTTTGAAACTCCTTTATGTGACTTTAGAAAGAACAGCATAACCAGATAAAGTCTGAGTCCAGGGAAGCAAAATACAAATAAATTAAAGGTGGTTTATATTTGTTGCACATCCATCCAATCATCACCCAAATATGACCTTTAATTTTAGATCCACACTTAACCCAGCCTTTTTTATAACCTTTTCATGCTACAAGTTAAATGATATAAAATACTTCTCAAAAAGGAACAAAAACATTTTCACATATGTTTCTAAATATACATCAGTTTTAAGAATTCAAAACTGCATAAACACTAAAAATACATCTCAAAGACAGATGTAGACTTGTTTTACATTTTGTCCTGCTCTCTTATCTAGACCTCAGACTGCATTCTTGTCAACAGCAGCAACCTGCTTTTCTAATGGAACCACCTTCATATGAGGAGGCCAGACGCCACCCTTCCACTCTGTCCACAGCGGGATTTAACAGCTCTACCCCCGGAAACCTTGCCTCATCCCCCTCAACACCTCCTCCCACCTACAGAGAAGCAGGTAAGATTTTTCTTCACATGTATAAACTTGAAATATTTTAGGCTCAATCTGCATGATTTGAACTATGAACTAATTCTTGAGAGGGGTGAACTTGCACAACTTTGGGCAGGGTTAAGTAGTAGAAAAGAATGGGTGAAGTGGGATTCAACTTAAACTGATATTAAGGATTAAATACAACCTCACTGTTTAAAGAATAACATACACAACAAAATGTTAGTTTCTTGACTTTTCTGTTATTTAAACCAGGGGTCCCCAACCATGGTCCTTGAGGAACACCATCCTGCATGTTTTAGTTGTTTCTCTGCTTGGACACACCTGCTTTTAATTATTGGGTAATTAACAAGCTTCTGCAGAACATGAGGAAGTAATTAAATCACTGAATCTGGTGTGCTGGAGCAGGGAAGCAACTAATACATGCAGGATGGTGTTCCACAAGGACCAGGGTTGGGAAACACTTGTTTAAAGGTGCACAAAGTAGTTGTAAGTTTCTTGTATTCTGTAATGAGCTAAGATGGGTGGCCCGTTGATGGTCTTGGGTTAAAACCCAGAGTTTGCTGAGACCAACTTATGTTGAGAAACAGTCGAGATTTAATCTTTTAGGTCAAACCGTGAAAAAACTTTATAAATTGTCCCATGTGACGTTACAAAATTTCCCGCTCAGAATATGTGTTGACAATGACTCGGCTACTATCACATCAAATTTCAGCTCAACATCTGTTAGACACTGAGTTATAGTCATTTATGTGCTGGCTCCGGCCAAAAAACTGTGGTTGCCATCTTGAAATGGATTGTCTCCAAAAGGAAATCAAATGTAAATGTACCTTTAATGAAGATTTTATGAGAGTTTCAAAAAATATTGTTACGTGGTTCCATAGATATTTTACTAACAGACATACAAGGCTCAGATTAACAGTTATTGGCAATTTTTGAAAGAAAGATCTTGCATCAAATCCATGCTCAATGATCCAGGTATAAAATCCAACATTGTTCAGTCAGGTCATCTGGACGGTTTCTTTTTTGTGCTGAGACGTTTTGTCCTCCATCCAAAGGGCTTCATTAAGACTTTGGTGTTTTGAACCAGTTTGACATGACCACTGACAAGGGAGAGAGCAGGCACTGGATGAGAGGGCGTGCCCCAGAGGCCATCTTAGCACCAACATAACTGGTTTTTTTCCACTTTGGAGTAGACTGTTGGTGAAGAATCAGTTTTGTTTGGTGTTTCCTCAGACAGGGGCAGCACGGTGGTGCAACTGGTAGAGCTGCTGCCTCTCAGCGAGCAGGTCCCTGGTTCAAACCCCGGTCTAGGGGCCATTCTGGGTGAAGTTTGCATGTTCTATCCGTGCATGTGTGGGTTTCTCCGGGTTCTCCGGTTTTCTCCCACAGACCAAAAACATGCATGTTAGGCTGATTGGTAACTCTAAAATTGTCCCTAGGTGTGAGTGAGAGAGTGAATGGTTGTTTGTCTCGTTTGTCTCTATGTGGCCCTGTGATGGACTTGCGACCAGTCCAGGGTGTACCCCGCCCCTCTCACAGTGATTGCTAGACATGGGCACCAGTGATCCCCGTGACCCAAAATGGAAGAAGCGGGTAAAGATAATGGATGGATGGGTTTCCTCAGACTGATGAAGCCCTTCGGATGGAGAGTGAAATGTCTCGGCACAAAAAAGAAAACCTCCAGATGACCTGCATGAACATTGAAATATCTTGCATGATTTATTGGAGCTCAAAGTACAAAGTATGTGTAAAGGATCTGTCTCAGCTACTATTACACCAAATATTAGCTCAATATTTTAAAATTGACTGAGTAGCCAGGTAAAAAAGTAATTACTTCGTCCAGAGGACCTGACTTAACTTTGTTAGATTTTTCTACCTGGAGCATGCATCAGGATATTATAGCCAGGTTGTTAATCTTGTTTAGCTGTGGTGGCCATCTTGAATTGGTTTGACTTTAAAACTTACTCAGCTGTAGATGTACATCCAATGATTACTTACCAAGAGTCTCATTAAAATCCATCCAGTGGTTCTTGCTAACAGAGAGACACATGAACATACGCAAACACAGAAACAGGTGGAGAGTGATGACAAACAAATGAGTAAAGATTATGGATTATGGCCCCTATTTTTCAGATGTGTAAACCCCTAACAACTTTTAAAACAGGATTTTTACATTGAGATGTATTTCAGGGTATTCTTTTCTCCCCACTAACAGTCAACCGAGATGCTTTTCCTGTCCTGAGTCCACCCATTGTGCCAGCTGCTGTGGTCCCACCATCACAACACCCTGAAGTCACAGTTCATCCACTTACACAAAGTATCCAGTCCTACCATTTACTTCTCAACCCCTCTGTCATGTGTCTCCCAGCTACCTGATCATATTTTCTGTGTCGTCTTTTTTCTGTTTCTGCTGAATGATAGTTGGTGGAAGAGAAACTGCCAGCAGCAGACGAACTCAGTCAGTAGCCGTTGTGTCCCAACCTCAACCCGTCCCCATCGTGCTGACAAGTCTGATAGACGCCCCTGGTTTGGTCCGCTGTCCACACTGCCAGCACCTCGTCACCACCAAAGTCACATACGTGCCTGGTTGTGCTGCTTGGTGCACGTGTACCATGCTTGCATTAATGGGGTAAGGACAAGCCCAAACACACACACATAGAACAATTTAGTGCTTAGTTTCAGCAGCATAGTCTGAACATGCTGGATCTGTGTGTTTCAGGTTAATCTGTGGTTTCTGTCTGATACCTTTAATGATGGATCGTCTGCAAGACGCACATCACTACTGCCCAGACTGTGGAAAGAAAGTCTTCATTTATAAACGATGACAGTGATGTTTGCAGAAAGCTGGTGCTTTTCTTAGACCACTCCTCATTCATGTCACCATATTATTAAATTGATTAGTCAGATTTAAAGTGCATGCACTTGTTGTGATATGTATTGTAAACACACCTATATTGAACACGCAGAGACATATAGAGCCCTTTTCCCTCTTTATCAACCTGTCACTATATATCACAGAAGGAAGTTGATACAAAAACAGCCTCTTTATGAAGGAGCATCCATCTTTCTAACTGGCTGTTTCTAAACTTTCTATCCATCTAGATGTGTAAAGTATCTTAAAGAGATGGTTTAGATCTTTTAAAATTGGGGCTCCAAAGAGAGGTTATGAAGTTATTGTCTTGCCTGTTGTAGATAGCTCTTTGAACTAGGGAGAAGCATTTCTAGCAATAATACTCCTCCTATTCATTCGTCAATATTCAGTTATTCTTCAAATATTCATCCTTGCCAATATCCCACCACTGATGATTAAAATTGAAGATATTTTAAAGATAGTATCTTACTGGACTTCAACGGCTGGAAATCAGCTGGCAAACAATAGTTGTGAGGGAGTCTCCAAAGTGTTTTATGATGTTTGCAGGGGCTCTCAACTTCTTTGCTTGAGTCGCAGAATTTTGAACATGTTCTAAAACTTTTATGACATTTCTCCTAAAAGAGTTGTCATGGACATTTTGAACCCATCTCAAGAGCATTAGAACTGTAGTTTGACACCTGCATGATCATGTCCAAGTCTAAAAACTACTCCCGTCATCAATAATAGTTTAAAAACTACAACATTATTCAAGTAGATTAAATCATAATGCCAAATGCCATAGTGAGTAAGTGATATGAGGTAGGGATGATGTGGGTGTAGGTAGGCAATGAAATGATGTGCTGGCCTAGAATACAATTCTGTAAGTCATCTACACAAAAACAAGTGATTTTCGAAAACCAACCGTGCAAAATGTGGCAACACGTCACTTTGTCACAAACAATAAAAAAATATGAAAATGTGTTTTCTCACAATCTTAAGCCATATTTGAGTTGTTGACTAGTCTGAACAACTGCCGCCAAGTGAAATGTCACATTAGTTCTTCTAATTTGTGCCATTTAACAACTCCTCAAATGTTTAACTATCACTGACCCTTTAATTAAATAAAGTTTATTTCTGAACAGATTGACAATCTAAAAAAAAATTGGACCAGGCCCAAGAGGACTGCTACAGTCTTAAAACTCGAATCTCAAAAACTCAGTGCTTCGTGCAAAAGTTATTTTTAAACTTTTACATTGCTGCCAGATTTTATTTTCACGTTTATTTTACGAGGAATTCTTTAGTTATTGCCAAATGTCCAGCTCATCAGTCCAGTCAGAATCAAACACTGTTTGCTACAAACTAAAGTCCTTCCAAGGGTGATTTACAACTGGCAAGATAATACTTGTTCATGATGATTGCACAGAATCCCACCTCCAAAGATCTGAACGATCCCTTTATTACATCTATTTTTAATCATTTACATTAATGACAGCGACATGGTTGGTGTTTTAATGTATTGTTACTGGTTTATACAATAATATAGTTGTGATGTATGTTGTATTACACATTTAAAAGTATTTTTCACAAACATTTCTAATCTTAAATGTAAAACTTATTAGACAAACACTGTGTGCACTTTCCAGCTTTCTGTCTATAGATATGAAAAGAGGGGACACTGAATCTGTTCCACCATGCAGACTGCATCAGTCAGGGGTGACACTTCAGGTTGTAATCTGCCATTTATTAGTCTTTCTTTGTATATATTTGTTAAATACAATGTCTTTTAATTTAAAATGAACACAGTTGATTTTTTTAAAAACTGCATTTGTAAGTAATGTTTACTTGTATAATATTGGAGTGCAGATATTTAAGAAAACCTATTAAATCAAAGCTTTAATTCTTTTAATTGCACAGTTCTTATCTGCCATCGTTAGGATATTTTCTCTAATACTCTTCACTGGACTCTAATTGTGTACAAACGGTATTAAAAAAATCTATATTTTGTGTTTCTCATATAGCTACTGTTACATTAATTTAAAACAAAAACACCTTTTTTGTATAAAAGTGGGTTTACCTGATCTGATTACAGTGTGTTGATTTACCATCGACCTGAGCTGCTCTGATCATCCAGGCTGATTAGAAACACTTGTATATATATATATATATATATATATATATATATATACCATTCTATAAAGCAACCAATCTGCTTTCATAATGTATGTGAATGTTTCTGTGCAGTGCCCTGAGATTGAGTTCTGTTGTGACTTGTGGTTATATAAATAAACTGAATTAAACAGAATTGATTCAATTCATTCCTTCAGAAAACCAACACATCATTTCAAGAAAATGCTTGATAATGTAAGGGAGGGAAAAAGTCCAGTGTAATTGCAAAAGCCCTCAAGCGTATCACTTTGGGAAAGAAAGAAACAATATGATGGATCACAGATGTGAGCAACTTCAGGCCTGAGGGCCAAAAGTGGACAATCTCCATCAGCCCCCCAATATCCTTAGTTTAAACCTTCAATATCCTTAGTTTAAACCTTCAATATCCTTAGTTTAAACCTTCAATATCCTTAGTTTAAACCTCCAATATCCTTAGTTTAAACCTCCAATATCCTTAGTTTAAACCTCCAA